GTAGTACTCAAATAAACAAGAATAGTCAAATGAAGAAAATACACAATATTAATAACATCTTACATTCATTGAATTGAATGGATACTCATTAGAACATAACAATACAACGATTTGATGTAGAAAAATAGTGAATTGAACGAAAATAAGAATGATTTGATATTCAAAAGATGTTAAACAACAAATTAAAAAGAAAATAGTCAAATGTCTTCAGTAAAAGATATTCAAAACGTTGTTGTAGTGTTAATAATGAATTATCAACTAAATTCAATAAATAAACAAAGAAATTGTTAATGATGAAAATATACATCATTATATTAAAGTATTTAATTAAATCATTAAAGTATTAAGATGTATTTGTTTATTTAATCACTGCTAATGAGACAATGTGTATAAGATAAAATATATGTTATTGTTAATGAATATTGAGATAATTTAACTTTATTTATTCATTAGCAAATGAAATATTCATATTATGATAAGTTCATAGTACTAATTATATCACACAGTTATACAAAAACATCAGTTAAAATATCAATAATGATTCTGTGAACATTTAATATGAATTATATAAAAATAAATATGAAAATAATAATCAAATAATGTAGTATGTTAATGTCTCTTCATAATAACATTATTTATAATGAAAAAAACAATGATATTCTTTGCTATTTCATTGAAAGTGACAGAAACTAACTATCAACAAAACAAAAAACAGAAAATTAAAGACAATGAGATTGTCAATGAATAATGAACATAATAAATAATTCAAACTCTTTCTACAACATATCCTTGAACAGATAATAAATAAATTATTATTTATTTAATAGTTATATTTTCATCATATTGAGAAGTGAATGTTTCACTTTATTCGTCATGATTTATTTCTTGTGAACTGATGCTTTTCAACCATCATTAATATAAATATTCTTCATTTAAGTTGTTATTTAGTTTTGAATTTAATGATTATTAAAACTCACCATTCTTTATTTTATTATTTTATGTTGAATATATCTAATAACAGTTTGATTATGTTTCATTTCATTGATTATCATCATTCATTTATCACTTTGTCTTAATAATACCAGTACATTCAATTCAAAATTATTATTAATAAATATACATGAATATTGATAAATAAATAATACTCTTTCATAATAAATACTTCACGAACAATCATTATAACAAATATTAATAAATAATAACCATCAGTATTGAATTAGTATTGTTTCATCAAAACAACATCATAACCAAATAATAATTGATGATTCAATTATTTGAGTTATTTTAACATTGTGTATAATGCTTCTGAATTTAAATCTTCAATTCTTTAAAACAAATAAAACTAAATAGAATAGAATAAAAGATAAAGAAAACCAGAATAATAAAATAAGATAAAAACAATAGTATTGAAGTAATGTTAATAAAAATATGTTATAACAATTGGAAATGAGAAAAATAATTCATTTGTAGAGTGTTTAATGATATAATATTGAGTTATGAATGAAAAATATGATTTTAATGAATTAATATAAAAAATAAGATGATATTATAATGAAATAGTTTAAATATTAATAAGAAATTATATTGAAAT